CTGATAGCCACTCAGACGAATGTATCACTTAACATTTATGACAATCCAGCTGGAAGGAGTCATGCCTGTGATTGATGGCTACACTTAGCAACTTCGTGGCTTTGAACAGCTGAGACTGGATCCAAGGGGATTAAATGCTGGATGACATCTCAATGGAAACCATGGCACTGGGGACATGTTTATACATTGGGATAATGGATGAATGTGCTTCTCCAATGCATAAATATTTAAACTTCACAGCTCTGCTGAAAACAGACTGGAAACATTTTTTTTTTTTTTTCCTCCCCCCTCTCTTCAAACCAAACTGAAAGAAATACCACTTGCATGCTAAATACTTGGACGCAGAGCCCCGGGTGGCAGACCTGCTGACAAACAGCATGCACCCGTCTAGGTGCAAACACTGGTAAGAGGTTCCCCCCTTCCCCACAACCAGCACTCCTGCCCAAGGGCTCTCTCGCTGCTTCACAAACACTTGCTGACTAAGCTCAGCTCCTTTAGAGATACCTGGAGGGGAAGAGATCTTTGACAGGAGATGGAGCAGCTGTGCCCAAGTGCCCACCATCAGTACTTGTATTTTACAATGAGGAGGCAATCCAATGCTTTCCTAGACCTTGGCACAGTTAAACTGAGGATTAGCATGTCTTAAATGGGGCCGTAAGCCTACCAACTTATATTTAAAAACAAAGAAAGATTCAGTTGAATCAAAGAAACAGCTGAGCTGGGATCAGTCCTACAGAATAGACTTGGCCTGCTGAATTCCTGCATGTCTTCCTTCATAGCCCTGTCTGCAGACATTTGGGACTTTGGAGCCCAAATGCCCTCAGGAGCTTCAATGTCTCACTGTGCTGCTGCACTGGCATCTCCTGCTCCTGTTCCAGTCCACAACACTGCTGTTCGTTCATGTCCAAATCCCAAATCTGCTCTAGAGCAACGGGCACCTAGCACAAGGTGGGCAGGATTTTCACGCCAGGAAAGCCTGCCTGCTGAAGCAGTTAACTTCAGCTGTTAGCACAGGCAGGAGGAAACAACCTTGAGGCAAAGAAAAGTCAACATTTTCCACAAGGATCTGTCTGGCTAGGTTAAGATATTCCTGAATTATTCCTTCCAAACAAACACTGCTGATTAAAGTAACTATCTAAATGAAACTCCAGGAGGGCCCCAAGCGCCCTGCTAATCCACAGAAGATTTTTTACACTTTATATATGGTGGATATCCATAATTCATTAGTACTAAATTCATATATACTTTAAAATAAAGCCATAATAGATAATATCTCCATTTTTCTACTCATCTTGGTAGCTTGGTAGTTCAGTGTTTTCATATGCCAATCTGCAGTTTAAACACATGCTGAAATGCTTCAAATGTTAAAAGGTGACATTTCTTTAAAGAGAAGATTTTCTTAGTTCTAAGACTACATGTTACTCTCTTGATTGCAGCACACCTGAGAGTAATTCTGTGTTTAAAATAAGAAGTGAGAAATATTTCTTGAGAGAAGTCTGGTTTTAAGAATGGTTGCTGTTTAAAGCCACTGATTTTATTGGAAAGTCACCCAGAGAGATAGATTACCTTCGAGTAATAAAATCCCAGGCGTGTGCAAACCCGCACGTAGCCAAAACGTGTGTCCGCACGAACGACAGCCCATCGCTGAGCTCTCCAGTACGCGCATACATGATGCGGTTAACCTCCATAAGGTCTCTGTCACTGATGACATTAAGAGATGTCCTTGATCCTAGAAAGGTGTCGGACAGTGTCTGAGCACCATGGCTTTCCCATGGGACCTCAGCTGAATTTCCTGCTGCTGAAGAGGGCAGGATACCCAGGAAATGGTTTGTGACAGTGTGTTTTCCCCATGACCCCCTCAATGAGGTCTCAGGAGCACCTGTGGATACTCATGATGCTCAGACAGTCATTGATGTTTGATCTTGTCTCTGTTTTTATCCTCCCTTTTACTTGTTTTGCCTTCTACCTGCTTCCACAGAGCCCAAGTCTTCTACCTGCTCTGTTAACTCTTCGATCTCCAATACTGGGCCAATAATGACTTTCAGAATTACCACCACAAGAAAACAAGAAAACCACCCAAAGGGACACATTGCAACAGACAGAACCAGATACACTGGAGTGAGAAATGGGACCCTTGTACTGTTCTCCAAGGCAACATGCAGCACGAAAATGAAAAGCTTTTGTAAAAGTCACTTCTCTCAGCAAAGACAACGTAAGTGCCTCCTTTCCTTACACACAGGGGCTAAGAGCAGGTAATGCTGTTTCTTGATCAATACCCACTTTCATTGCTTGATGAATAGTTAAAAAAGCACTTTACTACAGAGGAAGCTTACAGCTAAATGTGGCATTTGAAACATTTCCTGAAGTAACGACATCACATACATGCAAACCAAAAACAAAACTGTGAGGTACCCCGTATATCTGACGGGACAGAGAAATCAAAAGCAACAAACCAAAATTTGGCTTGCATCATGAATGAAAACTGACTCTCCACACTAGTAATTTTGGAAATTACTTTTGCCGATTGAGGAACATGAAAACCAGAAGTGGGCCACAAAACCAGATCTCTTCATGCTTTTCAAAAAAAAAAAAAATTACAAGCTTGTGATAATTATCTCTGTTACCAAAATGCTTAGTGACTTTCATTATTAGCCATGACTCCATTGCACCAGGCACTGTAGGAACATAAGAAATGGTCATACAGAGAACAGCAATGTTATTCATTTATCAGCTAGCAGAAGACAACAGAATTCACCAAGCTGTTCCCTTACTCCAAAAAGCAAACTCTTCTGTGGAGCAACAGGACACGTTCCTGCACTAAACACCTCTCTGTGTTCATAGGTTAAGAACTGCCACTGCTATCTAAAAGAAATGGAAGCAGCAGCATCAGAAAGTTAAATGAAGCTATACGATAAAAATCTGTCAGAAGTGACAAGAACATTCATTAGGAATCTAACAAGGATCCTGTAATACCCACATAATCCACTTTCAAAACTTTTCAGATGTTCCCCAGATTTCACAGACCACATAAGTGCATTAAAATTCCCACATTAGGTGAGTATTATAAATATATACAATCCTTCCCCCAAGGCCTCATCACCTCTCTTCCCCATCTACCAACTTACCCTCCAACGCACAGAAACGTGTCACCTTCTCCGGCATCAGCTTCCCGTGCTTGTGCTGACAATATATCTCTGCAATCTCCTGTCGACACTGCTTGGACTTAGCCCGGGACATGGCTGAGATTGCCTCTTTGCCTGTTATCTCGCACCTCAGAGATTGGTCATATCTCAGTTCAGGGGAGCTGTTCCCATTTTTTTTGAAATGATGCTGTCTGGGAGACCTGTGAATGTCCTTCAGATTGTTGTTGCTACTGTTTTTTCCAGGATGGTTACCAAATTGCACCACTTCATTCGAGTTCTTCCCCAATAGTGAGTTCTCTTTCACCTTTTCCTCTTCCAGTTTCTTTCTCAAGTGCTCCTTTTGCTTGCTAAGGGGTTTTTTCACCAGCTCAGTCTGGTGTTTTTGCCTCTGAGTCCTGGGAGCAAAGTTACTGTTATCAATGTTTTCAAAGTCCTTGGGGACTGAATTTTCATTATTGCTGTCTGTTCGCATTTTCTCTTTCGGTCGGTGGGAAAAATAGCCATCCTATAAATGGGGAGAAAAATTATATTCATCTTACCAAAAGTAGACATATCCCATGCACTACAAACATCTCTTACATGAAAACATAAATCAACTACAAATGACGATATTTGGAAAACACACATGAGGGCTCATGAGAGAAAGCTGGGGCTGGAAAAGGCCTTCTGAGCTGTCAGAGTCAATGCAGGCAACCACCCCATGAAACCCCTTCCATTAGCAATGCTGCTTTGACACTCGTTCTCACATCCCACTTTGGTGAAAACTGAAGACATTTGGTAGAGGATATTTTACTCAGGTTGTGAGTAATTATTAACAGGCGGGTTTACCCTGACACCACTGAAATCAATGGCCAAACTGACACAGACTTTAAGGGAGCAAGAGCAGATCCTCCGATACTTTCCCAGCGGCTGAACCATCCCAGCTTGGGCCTACTGCTCCTCGTTTGCTTTTCTTTGGAGAGCTGAATCGTCTCCAAAACACATTTATTAAACTCAGAAAGAGCCGCTGCGCCTGTGAGAGAGACACGTTTATGTGATTTATCCAAACATCCCTGTGGTCTGCTTTTGTGCACGAGTTCCTGCAGACAGAGGGACAAAAGCTCTGTCACACCAGGCCTGGCAGGCCAGGCCATCCATCTGTCCCGTCCGGGTCCGGCCGCCAGCGCTGGCCAGACATGAGGGCTCAGGGCGAAGGGGTGAGGAGACGCCGTGAGCCTGGACACCCCGCAGCGGTGTCCCCGACCCCCCAAGGAACCAGCTCCGACCCGAGCGCTGCATTTTGGCTGTTCCACATTAAAACGCCTGGTAGGCGGCTAGCAGCACTTCACCATCCTTAGCCAGAGATGTCTAGTGAATGCGCTTGCTGTCAGAACCCAGCCTTCAGAGGCCACTTTCCGGAAAGAAAATTCAGTAAATGGGTGATGCTTTCCCTTCACACTGGCACCTTCCCTTCTTCCTCTCAATTCTGCACTGCAACATTCACACAGCCTTTCTTGGGAGATTAAGGCAGCTCGTGGGCAGCAGAAGATACCCACACTCAGACATGGATCCTGCCCATGTTAGACTATCGCACAGCAGAGACTCCAAACCCTCATAGCTCTGCTGGTGCCCAACAGCACTTCTGCGAAGAATGCGCAAAAGGCAAAGTTTCACCTGAGCACTGAGACTGTCCCAAACTGGTGACCTAGGGCTGCCATAGCTGGAGCGCACAGGACAGACATGCTGCATCTTTGGAGGGATTCATGGCCCTCTGGACACGGCCCTGGGCAAGCTGTGCGAGCTGGCTCTGCTCGAGCGGGGGCTGCACAGGGTGCTCTCAGAGTCAACTCCAGCTGCCCACAAACTCTGGCCAAGGTGACTGCGTGGCTGCAGAAACACCCGTGTGAGGACACGGGCGGTCTGGGAGAGCAGCGGGGCGAGGAGGGCGGCACGTCCTCCAGCAGCAGCAGAGGACTCGGCGAGGTTGGGCTGAACCGGGCCCTCCATCAGCTCTGCCAGCCAGGAGGTGACCTTCAGTGCTCCTGCTGGCGTGAGCAGATCATATTCTCATGAGCACTGAGCTCAGTGAAATGGCGAGCGACGGGGCAGGGTCGCTTGCAGGAAGCACAACACAGCCACACAGCTGACTGCTCTCAAACACTAGCGCTACGCTGCTCCTCCTTGTTTCTTTGAAAACCTCTCCTCGGCAGCAAAGTGATTAATAAATTCAACAAATATATTAACAAGAAAAGGCAGAAAGAGGTTCTAGAAACAACAGAAAACAACCCAATGTGCTTGAGGAAAGCTGCGAAAGACGAGAAGCTCAAGGTGCTGACAGGGCAATGGAGCCCCACACGGGGCCCGGCCTGGCCGCCGGCCGTGGGCAAGCTTGAGCCTGCTCCTCTGCCATGGGAATGAGTCCTCAGCCTTGCAGAGGACAAATTCCTAAAACCTAAGGAATGGGCAATAACAGCATTTTTAAAGTGATCAACAGCCAATGAACGCAAGGGGGAATTGTCATTAAAATACCAGGACACAGAGCTATAAATATTGATAGCTCTGTCTTGTTTTCTTTCCACTCACGAATACACATAATAACCAAAATCAGAGTGTGGCAGATGACAGCATCCTCTAATGATGAATGATGGTAGCAATTCACAGCACCTACGAATCACTTCTCTCATTCAAATCGCTTCACTGACACTTGCTAATTGTTTCTCACACCTCTGCAGCAAGGAGCGACTTGGCAGTCATATTTTACAGACCAAAGAGGCTGCGATAATGACTTACGCGAGGCCACGAGCGAGGCGATGGCGCTCTGACCTCTGCGGCCTGGCAATGAGAAATGTTTGAATAGTTTGTTCACTAGAAGATGTCACTGTGAGTGACTGAAGCGATCCTCCCGCCATGAATATTTACAGCCAACAGGTAGCTGTAGCTGCCGGGTGCAGAGGCAAGGGCAGGGCCTTTCTCTCAAAAATTCCTGGTATTGAAAAATTGGTATTTTTCAAACCAAAGGAAACACCTAAAAAAAAAAAAAAAAAAAAAAAAGTATCTTCCTAATTTTAAGGGTAGAAAGAGCACATGAACTCCTGGCCCCCAAAGCCAGGAGCAAACAGCACAAAGAGCAAGACAACATGCACCACTTTTAACAGCACACCCAAAACATCTGTAACTGAAGTGCCTGCTCTGAGCAACGGGCTGTTATTTCCTAGGTTTGCTAGTTGGCAGATTTCCTTGTTCTCAAACAACTCCAGCGCTAGAGGCTGCTCTGCCAGTTGTACATTTTGACTTGCTTTGTTTTAATGTACTTTGTATGATGATCTTGGATTTGCACATAGGCAGTACCTCAGCTCTATTCCTTCTGCTGTTAGATTTCTTCTAAGCTGTGGTTGGAATTCACTTTTCTCTCCTCATCAAATAATGAAATACAAAACGTCCTCTGCTCTTGTTCAACTACAGGCAAAATTAGAGCAAATGGAAATCAGCTAATGGCAACAGCAGTGCTGGGATAGGGGCTGCACGCTGGTGGGAAGGGAATCAATAAACCCCAAGCCTGTTTCAGGAAATGACATTTACTATTTCCAGACCAAACGAGAATTTTCCATCAAGTCCAGGCTTGGATGGAAACTGCCGGCGGAGGGCAGGTCCAGCAGCCACGTCGGCAGGAGCAGCCAAGTCCCTAAGGAGCAAGGACAACTGCTAATGTATCCTGCCCTTTGAGACAAGTTTAATGAATATCAGATTCATGGTTCCATATTTATAATTATTTGCCCAATTCAAGTTACCCAGACTACAAATGTACATATATTTGCACACATATACTGTTCACTTTTGTTAATGGCAGCAAGTGCTACCCAGCCTTCTGACGCAGGCAGGAGCACAGAGAGGTACCTGAGGCAGCACCATGCATAAATGTGACAATAATTAAACGAGACACAAGGTTTGATGCAACTCGGTGCAGATGGGCACCCCGGAGCCAGGGCAGGTCTCCGGGCTCTCCGTGGCACCGCGATTAGCCGGTCCTGTCCCCAGGGTCGTGCTGTCCCCGTCACGGGGGCTCTTGCAAGGCAGACCCGGCACCGCTTGGGCCTCCTGCTTTCTGGTCTTCCTTACGCACATGGCCCCTCAATTCTGCTACTAACAACAGTTGCTCAAAAGTTCTTATTTATGAGAAGGCCACCAAGACAGCACCCTGATGACAACAGCTACCTGGGGGCTCCCTTCTGTAACACTAGACACTGAGTGGGCTCCTTCCTCCCTGTTTGGTTTCTCTTCTGATTATACTCAAATACAAAGGCATCCCAGGCGTTCTTAATTCCAGTAAAATAAATGTTGTGTCCCCTGCACAGCCTGACTTATTTCCTACATGGAGTCCTTGAACTTTAACAGTTTAAGCCTGTGAAATATGAAGAAGGACATGAAAGAGCAGGCAAGAACATTTATTTGCTGAGCTTCCACAACAGCAGCGGGCAGGAAAGCTACTGGGAGACCACTCTGCAGTAATCCAAAGCATCCCCATGGTCGGGTTTCATCTTTAACCCAGTTCAAAGCACTTTTTGTCTGTAATTGGAGCATTCCATCATGCAATACTTAGGGCCAAAATACCTAGATGCAACGACGGGAAAAAATCTGTCTTTTTCATTAAAGTCTTTCCAAGGTCTCTAAAGGCAGTGCTGTGATAGGATATTTCTGTATATCTTGGCAACATTCCTTTTTTTCCTGCTCACTGTCAAACTCTTGCTAAATGATTTTAAGTTAAAAAAAGAGGAAAAAACTGAAACCCTCTTAACACTTTACATTAAAAAGAAATAAAGAAATCTAGCCTGTAGAATGAATGGCATGTTGATAAAGGAGAAAGCCAGGGAAAGGAGGTTTTCACTGATGTTTATCTTGGCAATATTTTTCCTTGCAAATAAGAATTTGCCCAAGCTTCCACCCAGGAAAAGCGTCGCTCTGCTCCAGGCTTTGCCTCCTGCCGCATCCAAACGTCGCTGGGGTTCGGGAAGCCGGGGGGCGCTGGGAGGGAC